GGTTCGTGATACGGACATCTACTCAGATTCTAATGTCTATATGTCATTGTTTATGTCGTTAACAATTAACGTTTATATGCGAAACTTTCAAAATGAATAGAAAGTAATTTAGCATATAAGTATTGCAGTTTTATTTTTTTTTTACCAAGAACAAAACTACTCATCTTCATTTGTGACTTCATGTTCGCCTATATTTAATTCGACATGGATGATAGAGCAATTTTAATTACAGATTGGTATTCAAGAAAGTAAACTTGACAAGAATTATCTAATGGATATCACAGATTAGAATTCGCGTGGAGCAGTGTTATTTATTATTATTACTCACTTGTGATGTGGAGAGGGCGAAATGATTGACGATCTTATAAGCCTGATCCGTGAAGATATCCGGGACCGGTTCTCCAGCTTCCTGTGCAGCGTAACGGAGTCCCATTAAGTGGTTGTCAATTCCATGACCGTTTATGTTGTCATTCATTTCCTTAGTCTGCCTTTGTACCGCTAAGTCGAACAGCTCCTTGATTCTTTCCTCCTGGAAATGTCAATGCAAACGCAACGTTTCAATTGTGAATAAATGCAACATGTCTGTTGGTAAGTTTCCATATGCTTAATTAGTTGTCTTTGCTTTTCGTAATTTTAATTTTTTATGTTACAATAGGAACTGCAGTGACCGAATATTTATTATCTGAACGCCTTTATATTCAAGGAATGTTTTCTCAATTATTTTTTGATATTGGTATTACTTTCGAAATTGATATTGTATACATTGATGTAAACACGTATGATAATATCAAGAAGGAGACATATATACTAAAGTTAAACTTTATATGAAATATTTAATAAATATAAAAATATAAGAGGTTATATACTAATGTTAAAAAATAGTAAAAATGACACAAAAAGTGCACAGATGTATATACAATGATGAAATAGTTTCATTTTTAAGCATTTACGATATTGGTGAAGATAATTTAACGTACAAACAGAATACAGTTCGTGGCAATTTAATAGAATGAAAAATATCTGCAGTCAAAATAGTACAGGATTTTGTTGCAGCCCGAGGACTGAATGTTCCAAGTTTAAGACTTATTTATTTTCATCATATCACTCCAATTATTATCATTTGTATATAACATATTTAGCTATTCGCTATAGGTCGGTTGTTCTAGTATTAAATTTTTCTAGGTATTTAGATATTTAATTATTATATTTTTTAAATTCTATTGCTGCGGCCCTAGGACCGCACATCCCAAGTTAAGTGGGAGACTGTTTTATGTCCTTATTGCCAGCATCCCTTGCCTCGTGGACACTCATTGTCATCTGCCCATCACTTGGGTGAACCTTAGCAAGGGTCAATAAATCGCCCTTGAGACGATGGGCATAAGGACTCAATTTGTTTAAACATCTACTGATTTGTTACTGACATGCGTTAATACTATACTGTGATGAGCTCAATTAAATTTATTTAACTTAGGAATCCATATCTATCGTTTTCAGTGACTTGTATTGTAAATAAGGACTTTACTAACTGTATTATAATTACTTTAAAGAGTCAATCCTAGAGAAAATTCCAAATTTTATCATTGCTAATCTTTACCTATCACTTACTATTGCAGGCACTGACCTCTCTCTTTTATGGAATAGATCAAAGACACATGAGAATGAAATAAACAACATTCATCAAACATAATGATTAGTAACTGGACTTATACTTATTTGTTACTATCTAATAACATAAATTTTTGTGAGTGACATGACAGTATGACTATCATAATCTTTTACCTCCAGCTAATCAACGCGTGTCCAAAACAGATGGCTCCAAAGAGACAATAGAAGTTAAAACATTCCAAGAAATTAGGATAGTATATTCAATAGTTATACTGTACAAAGTCTAGCCCTAGAAAAAGCATATCTGCTTGATCTTCCAGATTATACAAGTCAATACACCGCGTACAAAATCAAAAGAATTGGAACACTCTCACAGCGACAACCACAAGCACCTAACAAGTACATTGGTAAAGTTTGAATGTAAACGAAGAGAACACTCCGTATATTTTTAGGTGATCAACCACCCCATTTTCTGTTGTTAGTGTAAACTACGGGACAATCTGTGTACATCTCGCTGAAACGTAGCCACGGAAACGTGCAGACTCATTAGGGTGGAAAACTACACGCACAGAGGGAGTCAATTTCATTATCGTGCATTTTCGATGAACATCGAGGTAATTGCGGGGAATGGAACGCCTGAAATAACATCGTGATAAACGAGAAACAACAGTGGGCTCGTCGTACCACTTTCCAAACGAGGGTGAACCGTGGAAAGAAAGCAAACGGAAAAACCCCCATGATATTCGCCCGAGGCCACTCGAGAGGCCGCGCAAACATTCGAACAGGAAAAAGAGCGAACATGGCCTGGTCTAATTGATTGCCTTTCTTCGAGGGTCCTTCTTCCCTTTATCATTCCGTTGTTTCTTCGATTTAGATCCCTCTTATCACTTTTTTCTATTTGTGTACGTATTATTTCTTTAGAGAATTAATACCGTGTGATGCCATTTTTAGAAAGACAAATTAAAAACCGACCAATGCCGATGGAGGGTCTAATTTTAGAAAACAAATAGAAAATCGACTAATACTGTTATGGAAGACTATTTGTAGAAACAAGCTAGCTGAGTTGTGTGGTCTTTGCGGGGGACGAAACTGGGGGATTGATAAAGGCACGTCATCAAGGTTGGCAAAGAGCATGAAAGTAGCACCCAAGAGGTGACCTTCAGTCACCATTTCATAAAATTTGGAAGATCGATATTAATTAATATATTAAATTTAATGTAATGTAACTGTGTGCGAAGTATCGAAGTCAAATAATTCTACAATTCTATTATTATACAATTCTTTATTTACTGCTCAAAAAAGTATTGTCAGTTTTTTAGTAGGGAATTTTTGATTTTCTACTCTTCTCTAGGCAAAAGATCGTCGAGTGTAAAGGGTTAATATAGTTTGTGACGGGCACGGACGTGAGTCGTTCGGTGTCAGAGAGAGACGAATAAAAGCGTGTTTTCCGGATGTTGAAGTTACGTTATTTCAGTATTATTTTCTTATGTTTAATTAGTTTCCGAGTTTGGTGTTCGTTTCATACTGTTCATTTTGTTCTGTCCATTTCCTGTGTCTCAAAGCGTTGACCCGTTTATTCCTTCAATAAAGAATGAACACATACACATTCACATTATTTCTGTAAGCTGAAAACAGAATAAAACCTGTTTCTGGCATCCTACAATACTGTATATTTAAAAATATGTAGATGCTTAAAAATGCGAAATGTATCTTCAATTTTGTAACTGGAATGTGTTGCATGTGATGAGAGAAATTAATAATTTGTGAAATACACTATAACAGTTGCTACCTTACATTTAGGGGTAACTTTGAGCATGCAATATCGACCAAAAATTTGTCGTTCTCAAAATTCTTAAATATATTTGATCGATTCTGATTATATTTCACGATAGACGAAAAGGGTTTAGATTGGAATGATTACAAATTTTTGGTCCACAGTGTGTATTTTTCTTACAGGTGCATAAGTTTGTGATTTAAGAATTAGAAAGATGTTCTTAATTTAAGTCATAAAAGTTGGCTGATTTTTGTCAATATAAGAGCATACAATGAAGTTTTACTGGGTATGTTTGTTTCTAGTTTTACTTAGAAAGATTTAAACGTTTTAGAAAATTTTGTTTTCATGACAATGTTGAATTTTTTCGACATGATGTCCTCATTAAATGTACATATGTAATATATCAAATTTTACGAATTTACTTTTGTAACGAAACTTTTTGAAACATGTCAAAATTATTTTCCTTTTTACAACAAAATTTTCTAGGAAACTGATCCTTCTGAATAAAATTAAATAAGTAACATACCTTATTATTTAAAAATAATATATCTTTATGAGGTAAAAATTGATTAAAAGACAAAAATTAGTAATTCTTATCAAGGAGTAGAATTTCATGACAAGAAAATTTTTTCAGAAGTAAAAAATATTTTATATATTGTAATAAAAATTTGATCCGAAACTTGTCATTATTCAATTAAGGAACCGTAGCATATCACATTTAAAATCAAGGCAAATGCAGATTTTGCAAGAGAAGAAATAATATTTTACTATTCAATCCCACTATGAAATTATTCCAATTTTATATTAAAGCAGAATTGATGCAGCAAAACAGATATTAATATCGTGGTTAGTAAGTTATCTTTCTAATTTATTTCGACTACCGCGTACTTTACGTCGCTACAAACGACAATCTCTACGAAATACAGCCAAGTTTCAGTTACACTGTAAATGGTGAACTGAACTCTTTTGGTGCCTTCTTCTAGGTTGCTATTCTGCTGATTCGCGGATTGATTTTCAGGATCCCCTTGACACATGGCCATCGCCCAGGCTAGGGCCTCAGGACTAGCTGCCCTTATGCAATCCACTCTTCCTAGTGCAAATCTTCGAATACCTGCGCTCTCGTAAGTTGCTACCAAGTTTCCATGAAGCCTGAATCAAAGCAGAAAAATGTATCATTCGTAGAAAATAATATGGGTACCTTTACTAATAAGGGATTAATGGTAGAAGTGAATCATTTTTCCAGGGAGGATGGTATGTAATAAAATATATGTAAGATAGGTATGCATTTAGGGTTTTAATATGAATTTTTAACTAATGATACTAAATACTAATTTAGCTATTAATATTACTTCTATATTTCATTGTTATGGCATTGGATAGATATTAATAAATTAATAATGTATTAATCAGTTAATCAATTGATTATTATTTGATAATACAATTAAAGATATTGTCCCTTGTATCATTTTTCTTTTAAAACTTTCATATACTTTTAGATTTCTTCTATTGCATTTATTGAGTTTATTGCATTATATTGTATTTAATTTATCACTAATTTTCATAATTATCTTTTGTCTAATGTTCTTGGTAATTCTTCTCAATAAAATTTATTAAGGTATTTTAGATAATTATTGTACAAATTTCTATGAGAGTTCTATCAGGTTTTCATTGTGGTATATAATGTTGTAATGAGAAACAATAATTGTATATAATATTAATACAATATTCATATTGTAAATAATAAGAGGAATAGAATTCTGAGATCAAAAATTTGGTGAGGGATTACAATGTTCTATAACAATTAATTTAAAACATTTATTTCTACCCTGAATATAAAATAGATACTCACCTAAAATGGGTGAACTGTAATGCTAGTTGTATATAAACATCTGGACTGATTCTGTGTGATTTTATGAAATCCTTTGAATATTCTTGGAACCACAATATACAAATGTCCAAGTCCTCTACCAATCTATGTCATTAACATAACCGGACAAAATATTTCATAAAGTTAACTTTTGTGGTACAATGAAACTAAATATATCCAGAGCCATCAAGAGAATGTGAAGGCTATTGCCAAGAATATAATTTAATATAAATTAATACAAATTAAGGTAACAATGATAGATAACTATTAAATAACAATAAATAATGACTATCACATATTATATATGTACAATACAGTGTAAAAGTTTTAATGTTGGATCAACAACCTTTATTGCTCTATAATGGCAGTAACAATATATATTTCTAGGAAAGGATTAGAATAAATAATTAATTGATTTAAATCTTATAGAATATGGATAGAAATATTTAAAATATTAGAAGAAGAATTACAGAAAATAGAAAAGATTATTATAATGTTAAAAAACAGCTTAGAATAAATAATTAAATGATGTAAATTTCACAGAATATGGATAGAAATATTTAAAATATTGGAAGAAGAATTATAGAAAATACAAAAGGAGATTATTAAAATGTTAAAAAACAGCACCTCTTTCCAAGGATGTTTAACCAAATGGAAACAATTAACGAAAATAAGAAAAAGAAGAAAGAAAAGTTTTAATAATCTACCTTTCCACAATTTCTAAAATAATTAAACAATAATTAAGTAATAATTTTATTAATGCCTCAATTTTACAGGAATTAAACATTTTTCGTTTAATTGCAAATATACATGTTCCATATCTTTGTTTTAAAATATTTCTCTTGACGGCTCTTTTATAGACTTTTGTAGACGTTTATAGTCTTTCACCGTCACTTACGTGTCGAAGGATATCATTGCATCCCTAATGTCGTTGAGAGTTTGTTCGGATAGGTACCACTCAAGCTTTTCTGGTGCAGGTAAATGCGATGGTACCGTGTTCTCTTCAGGTGGAGACATGGCATCAACTTTTTCTGTTAATTCCTCGAACGTGATAAAAATCGCTGGACCTTCGCCAGCCGAATGCTCGTAGTTCATGCCCCACATTCCATCCTTAGATAAGCAAACAAGTACAATAAATACAAGTAACACGTAAGCAAATCAAATTGTGTATGAAAGATACATGCACTAATAAAGATATGAAAATATTTTTATACGTATATTTTATTTGTAAATGTAATTATTGTTATAAACGTACCAAGTACCTCTTTTATAAAAATAAAATTTTTGAAAAAATATGATTCTTATTATCTTTGATTATCGTGTATTCAGTGGGTCTGAAAAAGAGATGAATAAGACTACACTAATAGAAGAATATAAAAGAAATGTGCAATAGTAAAAATATGAAAACATTTTTATATATATTTCTTATTTACAAATGTAAATTTGTAAATATTTGATTTGTAAATATAGTTATTTTTATAAACGTATAAGGCTTTCTTATGAAAATAATTATTTTTATATAGATGTGGTTATTCTAATTATCTTTTATTATGGTGGATTAAGTAGATCTGAGAGAGAGATTATGTTAGAAAAGAGGATGAAGTGGTTAGAAAGCCCCATGGTTCACATATTAGGGGTGGAGTATTCTAAAGGTCCAGGTTAGCTACTAGGTATTTTAATGGAGTTCGTGTCAAGATCAATCACGTAGAGATTTAATTAATGTAATATCTTTAATTAGTCTCTAATAGTCATGTCAAATAAGATGTCCCCAAAAGCTGAAATTTTATTCATTTTTATATTGAAGAACAGAACAAGTTACATGATCTGTGACATAATATATATGTATATATACACTTTAGACAATTTTGAATTTTATCTTCGTTTATATTAAAAATTAAGACAATTACAGGGTTTAAATGCAATGAAATACAAATTCAAAATTTTTTAAAATTTTCTTCTTTATATTAAAACTGAGATATTTAAGTGACATAGACAGGGAGCTAAAAAATAAAAATTTATGGAATACAAAATTTCATTCTCCTTATATATTAAAAAATAAAATAATATACTTGGCTTACAGAGTATAAAATACACAGATTATACTAATTGGAATTTTATTATTATTGATATTGAAAAATAAAATAAATGACATTATGGGATAAGTGAGAAGTACACTACTTAGATAATCTATTGATTTTCCAATTATCTTGAATGAAGAATCAATGTCATTGAGCAAAGTATACATATAAGAGACCATATTGGTATACGTTTTCAAATTTTTCCGAAAAACTACACAGAATGACAAATCAGCCCAGAGACTAAGATAGGAAAATTGTTCGAATAAGAATAACTCGAGGGAGCAGAAATAACATTTTGACGAGTGAATGTTACCCTTAGTATGTGAAACTTCGATTTCTCGCATAATCATCGGGGATATAGTCACAGATACGTATATACCTTGCCAAGAATAGCGTGGAAAGTTTTATCGAACCAACGGTTCGCACCCAAATGTCTGGAACCACCACCATGGAGAACATGATGGAGTACATTGGCGTAATCTCGATCGCCGATCCACCGATCCTCTTTCTTTAGGGAATTGTTGAACGTCGCAGGTAGTATGTCGTCGTCGATGCACACCACGCAGAGACACCTCTCCAGAAGCTCCAGATTGTGTCGGTTTTGCTCGTCTGTAAAATTGCGAACACATATTTCTATGTTTCCTTTTTTCTTTAATCATTTTCTTTAATTCTGCTCTTGAAGCGTTTATATAGACAGATGGTACAGATTATTTTATTAAGGTATACTTAGCATGTTCACATAAGATCGATTTTGGAATCGATTGCTTAGAATGAAAGAAAAATATTTGTTTTGATATGATATAAAAATATTGCTTCCTTTCTAACAGATTACAATCAGCTTTTTACTCTTGTTTCATTTTTACCGAGCAGAAGAAGTATGTACCAAAAGAATTCACGGAAAATGAGATCAGTTTCTTTGAATTCCAGTCGCCGAATTTTTAGCGTGCACACTGCTATCGTTACCCTCACAGAAAATCGCAAAATTGACTGAAGATTTGAAGCTAGGATGGAAAAGAATTGTCTGAAGAAGTCTTGGAAAGGAAGTAATTTCTAGAAATTCACGTGACGATAGACCTCCAACCATGTTATGGTACCCTGATATAAAATCGCAGAATTGTCTGCAAATTTTAAGCCAGGCTTGTTCCTGGAATTCTTGGAAATGTTTCATATTTCATTCCTTATTTTTATGGGAACTTGTAAATATTAGAGTCTGTTGAAATAAAATATCTTAGCGTTGCGACAGTAAATTTTTAGTATTCCGAATTGAAATACCCCTTTGTAAGACACGAAATATAATAAAGTGTCAGTAGATTCGCTTTAACTTCATTCGCTCCAAGTTAGATTAGGCTATCTTCGATACGGATAGCACCAGTAGGCTGCGCCACTAGGGCGCATGTCGGGTCTCGATGCGTAGCCACCTCCACGTGGTGAGACCTGGTAATTGGTATCGTTTCCCAAAGAAAAATTTTTGGGAAACAATACCAAGCTAAAAGCTACGAACAAAGTTTAAGATATGTCCTATCTCTTGTAAATTTTCAATGTTCTCTTCGAACTTTGATAATTCAGAGTAGGCAATATTTGTTAAAGTAATATGTGAAGAAAGAAGAAAGAAGAATAAACTAAGGGAAATAAGGTAAGTAAGGAAAATAAGGTAAGTAAGATAAGTAAAATAATTAAAATCTCCCGCAAAGAGTAGTCTATGTGTGGTATGTATATTCACGCAAACGCTGCGGAATATGTCTCGATAGAATTCTTGGAAAGTGACGTCACTTCTAAGAATCTGTCAACGAGCGACCTCCCATCATGTCATGTTATCCTAGTACAAAGTCGCGAAATCGGCCGAAAACTTTACGGCAAGACTGCAAAAGTATTGTCCGAGAATTCTTGGAAATGACGTCATTTCTCTCAACTGTCTCAGCGATAGACCTCCTGTCATGTCATGTTCTCCTGATACAAAATCGCGAAATCGGCCAGAAATTTTTCCTCGAGGCGGCAAAAGTATTGTCCGAGAATTCTTGGAAGTGACGTCATTTCTAGGAACTGTCTCGAGGGTATACCTCCTGTCATGTCATGTTATCCTGATACAAAGTCGCGAAATTGGCTAGAATCTTTTCCTCGAGGCGGTAAAAGTATTGTCCGAGGATTCTTGGAAGTGACGTCATTTCTTGGAACTGTCTCGAGGGTATCCCTCCTGTCATATCATGTTATCCTGATACAAAGTCGCGAAATCGGCCAGAATCTCTTCCTCGAGGCGGCAAAAGAATTGTCCGAGAATTCTTGGAAGTGAGGTCATTTCTAGGAACTGTCTCGGGGGGATCCCTCCTGTCATATCATGTTATCCTGATACAAAGTCGCGAAATCGGCCAGAATCTCTTCCTCGAGGCGGCAAAAGAATTGTCCGAGAATTCTTGGAAGTGAGGTCATTTCTAGGAACTGTCTCGGGGGGATCCCTCCTGTCATATCATGTTATCCTGATACAAAGTCGCGAAATCGGCCAGAATCTCTTCCTCGAGGCGGCAAAAGAATTGTCCGAGAATTCTTGGAAGTGAGGTCATTTCTAGGAACTGTCTCGGGGGGATCCCTCCTGTCATATCATGTTATCCTGATACAAAGTCGCGAAATCGGCCAGAATCTCTTCCTCGAGGCGGCAAAAGTATTGTCCGAGAATTCTTGGAAGTGACGTAATTTCTAGGAACTGTCTCGGGGGGATCCCTCCTGTCATATCATGTTATCCTGATACAAAGTCGCGAAATCGGCCAGAATCTTTTTCTCGAGGCGGCAAAAGTATTGTCCGAGAATTCTTGGAAGTGACGTCATTTCTAGGAACTGTCTCGAGGGTATACCTCCTGTCATATCATGTTATCCTGATACAAAATCACTAGCACCGCAACAGACATGTCAAACTATTATCGATGGCGACTGGACACATTATTAACATAATTGCATTCCAGTTCAAAGCATACAGAATATATCTACGTATTTTAACACTCGAATAAATCAATTTTTAAATGAATTACGTCAACACGCCTTATTCGGACAGACTGTATCTAATAAAAGAGTAAAAATAGGTAACTAAAAAATAATAAAAGTTTTTAAATCTATCTTAAATTTACCTTTCTCAACTTGCCAAAAATATAATAGAATACAATGAATGTACATACTCGAAGATGAAAATTTTTAATTTAATAGTTATGTTATAGTGATCTATTTTAAAGACAGTTTCCAGGACGAGGAAACGAACCCGACCACGGATCATCGTTAGCTCGTTAGATGTTTATTCGATTTGTAGACGTAGGTCGTAGGTTGTTGGGTAAGGTCGGGTTAGAGGGCTAATGAGAATATTGCGAATATTGGCGAGAGGAGAAGAGCCGGGTAATTATGGCAGCTGGAAGGGTACGCGGTGACAAGGGTTGCTGGAAAACTTGCAACAAGATTACTCTAACGGCTTGGGAAAGACGTGAATCACAGTCTCACTTGTGTGGAGTATATTAATCAAGAACAACTGAATTTAAATTTTCCTTCCTTATTTTTTTGAATTTCGAGTCATGAAAAAAGAAGCTTAAATATATAAGGTTAACAAATAGGTAATAACTGATTAATTATGTTTCTTATTATTTGATTTATATAAACGTAATTTATTTAATGGTTCTGACATAAGTTTATGAGTTTAATCAAGAGAGATGATAAATTTGGACCTGAAATTTTTTTATGATAAGAGATTGTTGCATTTCTTAGAAAAATTATGAGGAGAATAACGTATTGATTATGTAGCATAAGAAACGAATTATTTTTAAAGATTAACTTTGTCAAATGCATGCAAAATTAATAACTAATTTTAATTATAATAATTATAAAAATTAATAGAATTATAAATAAGGAAAAATATTAATCAGTAGTGGATATATAAGCTTCTACTAATTCAAATTTTTGTTAGTTTCACTATGTCTTAGTTTAAATATTAAAATAAAAGTTTGCTAAGATTATGAAATAGAAACATAAATCTGGTGTTATTGTTCTTTTAATAGAAAATAATCTAAAAATTGAAGAGTACCTTTAATGTTACTCTACTTTGAATATTTTACTGTCAAAAGAAAGTAAAGATCGAGAAATTGAGATTTTCATTGATAATAAAATTGCCTCATATTTGAATTTCCTTTACTGATATAATAACCGTGTCAAATACACCGATTAAATATAATTAATAATTAGATAAGGATTAAATATAATAATAATAAAAATATCGTTATTAATAAATACAATAATAATGGTGATACCAGAATAACAATTCAATTATTGCAATAATTTTATTATTAGGAAGCATAATTACTGTAGATGTATAATAGAATTAGAATAATACTCACGTTTGAGTAATTCATCTCTTGCCTTTGCCCAAGCTGGTCTTTTCATGGTTGTCAGAATACCAACTGGTGGAGTTCTAGGGTCTGCCTTAGTTCCCATAATTTTTAAAATTTGTTGGACTAATTCATCTTCGGTTATACGACCTCGATCGGGAGCCCTAACGGGCACGCTATAAAACTATGAAAAGTACACTCTGTGAACTTATCGATCGTTTGAGTGATCGATAGAGCGATGGAGTTCATTTATAGCAGGCGGAAAGTATATTTACTAGATATTTATTAACCCTTTGCACTCGGCGAGTTTTTCGTTACAGAGAAATAGCAATTGAAAAATTTTCTGCCATAATCGATCGTATTTTCTTAACCCTTCGCATTCGGGAGGCGACCTTCAGTCACCTTTTAATAAAATTTTGAAGATGGATAATTAATTAATATATTAAGAAAATAATGTAATAGTGTACGGGATATTGAAATTAAATAAAAATAAAATTAAATAATACTACTGGGTTAATTATTCTACGATTTTTTATTTACTGTTTTAAAAAATATCGTCCACTTTAGGATAGAAAATTTCTTCGAATCTTTGAATTTTTCCTCCTCTGTAGCGAAAAAATTGTCGAGTGCAAAGGATTAAAATAGCAAATAAGAAATCATGTATAAATTATTTTACGAATTATTTTTTTTTCATTATTTTATTTCAATATTTTACTTCATTTCAATTATTTCAATTATTTTATTTCAATATCTCATGAATTGGTATATTATTTTAACGTATTAACGTATTAACGTATTAATTAATATCAAAAATTTTATTACAATTTTATTAAATGACAACTGGAGATCGTCTCTCGAGTGTAAAGGATTAATCTCACTTTAATTTGATAAAAATCATTAAAAAGTACAATGTCTTCAAATTTATGTTTTAACTTTCAATCATGTTGTTGAACTATTGAAACGATGAATATCGAAGCACAAAGATACACGTGTATGTATATAATATCAGAAAAAAGTGTGAAAAATTAATAATAAATTATTAATTAATAATAATAAATTAATTAATTGATAATAAATGTAAAAAATATGAATAAAACACAATTCGGTATTTTCATGGGGATCGATTGTCATAGTAATTATTTTTACAGAAAAATTCGTCACGAAGGTTTTTATTTCTTTCAATAAATCCAATTTTCATAATTAAAAAAGGAGAAAGGAGAAAGAGCCTTTCTTCACTTATTCCATTTTTATAGCCGATTTTTTATTATATTATTTATTATTTTATTTCATATTAAACACGAGTTGTATGCAGCATCGATAGTACAAACTTTTTATCAATATCCTGGTTTCGCAAACAAAAATGTTTCAATTTTGAAAATGATGAATCACAATTTTATTAAATACAGATTTTTTCTTCTTTTCTAATAGGAATGAAACGAGATTCTTCTAAAAAGTTCCTGAATACCTAGGTCAGCAGTTCTCAAAAATTTTTTCTTGAATGGCACTAATCAATACGTGATCAAATCATTTATCACTTTGCATGCAGAGTAGTCCAGGATCATTAAATTACAACAGAAATTATAATTCCATAGCAATTCAACTGCATCTTACTTTAATTACAATTTCAATTATTTTATTTCAATATCTCATGAATTGGTATATTATTTTAACGTATTAACGTATTAACGTATTAATTAATATCAAAAATTTTATTACAATTTTATTAAATGACAACTGGAGATCGTCTCTCGAGTGTAAAGGATTAATCTCACTTTAATTTGATAAAAATCATTAAAAAGTACAATGTCTTCAAATTTATGTTTTAACTTTCAATCATGTTGTTGAACTATTGAAACGATGAATATCGAAGCACAAAGATACACGTGTATGTATATAATATCAGAAAAAAGTGTGAAAAATTAATAATAAATTATTAATTAATAATAATAAATTAATTAATTGATAATAAATGTAAAAAATATGAATAAAACACAATTCGGTATTTTCATGGGGATCGATTGTCATAGTAATTATTTTTACAGAAAAATTCGTCACGAAGGTTTTTATTTCTTTCAATAAATCCAATTTTCATAATTAAAAAAGGAGAAAGGAGAAAGAGCCTTTCTTCACTTATTCCATTTTTATAGCCGATTTTTTATTATATTATTTATTATTTTATTTCATATTAAACACGAGTTGTATGCAGCATCGATAGTACAAACTTTTTATCAATATCCTGGTTTCGCAAACAAAAATGTTTCAATTTTGAAAATGATGAATCACAATTTTATTAAATACAGATTTTTTCTTCTTTTCTAATAGGAATGAAACGAGATTCTTCTAAAAAGTTCCTGAATACCTAGGTCAGCAGTTCTCAAAAATTTTTTCTTGAATGGCACTAATCAATACGTGATCAAATCATTTATCACTTTGCATGCAGAGTAGTCCAGGATCATTAAATTACAACAGAAATTATAATTCCATAGCAATTCAACTGCATCTTACTTTAATTACGCCGTAATTCGTAATTCTCATCTCTTGTACAAATAAATTACAATTTGCAATTTACAATTGCACTCAAGGTGAATTACTACGTGAAATGTAATTAAATTAAGAAATTGCATAATAATTCAGCTCGAGTATTATCTGAGAATGTTCAACGTACCATCAATGATACGACAGGTTGAGAACCGCTGTCCTAGATTAGATTGGATTATAAGCTCGTGTGAAGTATTAGAAACTTACTTGATTGTGATGAGCAAAGATGATATGATTTCCAGACGTGGTTCTATCAAGAATGACTTGTTCGTCACCTTTTATCCCTGGACGCCGGTATATTCGATACATTTGATAATGCTGGGCCATGCACAGTGGTTGCATAGTTTTTCCATCCTTGGATTTCACTTGCTCGACTTCCAAACTGGAACTGAACAAAAAGAAATATTTATGTGAGTGTTGGTATTATGTGTGTGAGTGTGAGTGAGGTTGAATGAGTGAAACTCATTTGTCCTATAATTGTGCGATCCGTGATATATATATTAGGATGTTCCAAAAGTTTCTTCCTTTTTTTTTGATGTGAAATCAATAGAAGATATTTGTTGTTTAAGGTTGATTTATTGTGTTATATATGAACCGTTTTACTCTATTACCTTCTTCCATCTGTCAGGAAGCCTCGTTATGTCCTCTTTCCAGAATTGTTGAGACTTACTTGCAAAATATTCATCGAGGTGTGTTTTTATTTTACTTTTGGATTTGTGACATTTATCACGGAGAGAATTTTTTAATGAATTGAACAAGTAATAATCGAATGGGGCAAGCTCGTAGTATAGCATAGTCGTAGTACCACTCCCATAAACGGTGCAACTCTCGTCTGCAGTGTCCTTCGCACTACTACCTTTTTAAAAGCAATGAAGCATAACATGTTGCAAATGCTTCTTTTAGCTATCCATATTGAACGGTGTAGAAAAAGATTTTAAAAGAGACTTTGTCACCAACGAAACGTACTTTGAAAGAGTTGTGAGACGACTGAAAACGATCCTATAAACGGAGAATAGATAATCCTGCATGTTTACAAACATAGCCGGCTCGAGGACATACATAGCGTGACGCGGAAAGAACTTATGGGACAACTTAATATATAATATGATAATATATAATATTGATGGTAATATATAATGATATGATAATACATAATAATATATATATTGGTGATAATATATAATATGTCTGGTGTGAATAATATTTGAAAAAATATGTAGAAGGATATGCCAGAATGAAACAGTTGTCTGAGAAATATCAAAGACAGAACACGTAAATTTAATCATTATTAAGAGCGAGTGAGAGAAGGAACTTCCGGAAAGAATGCACCGATTTTATTATTTCAAATAGTTTATTATTTAACTCTTTGGGGCACGCTGGGATTAAAAGTGTTCCACCTTTTTGATGCATCGTAATGCTTGATGAGACATTTGTAGTCCCACCTGGAAATATTGCAATAGCTACATGCGCATAGCTTTATATTTGGTTTTATTTACGTAAAGCAGTTGGTAATACCTTCGACAAATGTTATAAATGTATTCGCTCGTGTTGGCAACATTCAACGTGCCAGTACAGGTTCATCAATTGTTGCAAGCGGAAGGCTTATTGAGACAATCTTTTTTCCTGGTTTTATGCTTTCACATTATGTGATTCCTTTACTAGAAAAAATATACCAATTTTGTTTCATTTAAAACGCAATGAAATTTCTATGCAACATGGGTCTATTTTATTATCTGATATCCTGAATCGCAAAGAGTTAAATAGTTTAATTGAAATATATTTTGTGAGTTACTCGTTAAAAAGCTCTCGTATATTATTGTCCATTCTAGCCACAATTTATTTTTATACTAACTATTATTTTCAATTCAATAATTTCCATTTTAATAACTTCAGTTTATTTAGTTTTTGTAATAACCTTATGGATATTTTTGTTGTTTAAACTATTATCGAATGGTACAAAATAATTAAGTATTTAATTTATTATTTTACTTTTTATTTAATTTATTTTGATATTTGGATATATATTTTTAGAAATTTTTAGTTCGATCCATCATGTGTTTAAGACTCACGGTAGTTTATTATTTAGTTAGTTATGTAATGAGGAATTAGATGAATTATGATTGATTATTATGATAAGTACTTATAATTTATAATTTACGACAGAAACAATTTGCAATATGTATTAAATAAGATTCTTAACCAAATAAAACGAATTCGAGGAGATACCGGACAGTACACGATGGGACATTACAGACGTCAGTCAGAACTTGAAGAGAACAGATTAGAAATCATACAGAACTCGAAGAGAACACATTAGAAGTCACACAGAACTCGAAAAGAACGCATCAGAAATTACACAGAACTCGAAGAAAACACATCAGAAGTCATATAAAACTAGCGTTTTACAACGATATCGGTCAATTCTCAATTTATTTTCTAGAATAATAACCAGCATAGGTCACTGACCGGTTTGTACAATAGTTTGTTTTTCTAACAATAAAATCCTACAATATGGTTACAAATTGCCAAAACCTTCGAGTGCAAGGATTGGAATTGAAGAAGATTAAGAAGATACATTCACGATATGAACACTTTACGAATTTACAAAGACTAACGTGCCAATAACATCATCAGAAGATATCAAAAGAACTCCCCAACCTCTCCCCAGAAGAGGAACATGAGATCCCTTCGAAAGGAGGAGTGCCATTCAGCAGTAGGTCTCAACGAATTTGCGTTAACTCCCGAAAAGAAAGTAGGAAGCATTCGCAGTCAGAGGTTCCTACCCGACCGGATACAGGATACCGAGGGCTTTGAGCCTTCCCATGCAGTAGCATCCTTTGCGTTCCGGCTAGAGACCTCTTTACAGCCGCGTTCTATGGATCCCGCAAGCCGGATTTCCTCGCAGACGGTGGCTCCCTCGCTAAATTGATTTCGGTGCGGCTTCTTTTTGTCCTCCGTTCGAATCACCGTCTCTCCGTGGACCGATCTTCCTTCGAAAGCTCGGCGTGTAGTCCACGTGCGTTCGCCTTCTTCGCGTTGACGATTAGCTTAGTCAGCTTCCGACAAGGGAGTTAGGGTGAAAGTGAAGGTTTCAACCTTTTCGGGGATACTGACGTGTATGTATAACTTTAGTTTTCTTTAAATTACGATTATTACGAGCGAAAAGAGAAATAGAGAAGTTGGGGAACTATTCATCGTTGAATCTAAAAATAAAGAATTAGAGCCTTATCGAATATTTACTGAATTGTTATTTTATGAAATAAAAAAAATTAATTCCTTTTTAATTTAGATTTTCTTTATTTTGAAAAATTCTACCATGAAGAGGTTAAGGAAGATTTGAAAAGGGTTTTTAGATTTGTAATCGAAATTCAAATTTTTGTAAAAGTCTATAGGTTTTAGTTTATAATTCTAAATTCATAAAGATTTTCAATATATAAATAAGTAAGTACATAAATAAATAGATTGAAGAAAAGGAAATGTTTTAAAAGGAACTTGAAAACTTGTTTGGATGTTTTAAGACAAATTTCAGGACTATTCTTCGAATAGTTTTATTGTAGTCTTTATCTTTATCTTTTAAAATTGATTGTGCGATAAAGAAAAATTAAAAATGACAATTATTTTCGTATCATTACATATTTTCCTTTTAATGTAGTTCTTCCTGTGTATTTTACGTTATGCTATTTTTTAAATTTAATTCTTTTCTATTCTTCAATTCTAAACGAATATATTAATTTATTTACTCGTATTTATGATTTTAAATGAATGGATGAATAAATAAATTAGGAAAAATGTCCTGCGTAATTACCTGAGTTTGTATTATTGAAATCTGTATAATCTTATTTACAAGAATTATAAATTTATACTCTTACCTATCTAATACTTCTTGATAGTTAAGCAGCTCTGTGAGAAATCTGGCGAGGAACACAGCAGCTTCTTTTTGGGTGCTAAATGTCCTGGACTTCGCTGCAAGCCCAGGATTGCTATTAATTGGTAAAGCCAGAGGCACAGACAGGTACATGTCATTTAACCACCAATCGGTCGCCTGTAAACAGATAAAACAAGAATTTTTGGTTATTTCAATTAACTTCAATGATCAAAGAAAAATCATAAAAATGTTTCGAAATAACGTATTAAAAAAAATGTTTAAAAGACATTCCCCTTGTTTCAAGTGGATTAATAAAATTGAACAGAGTGTTACTGTTTATCCTTGTGTTTAAAATAACGTTATACAAATTTTTTGAACTTACGAGTACTTTTACTAACATATTCAATAATTAATATAAACATTAGTCAATGAAAATTTTTCCATATTTTAAATATGATGTTAATTAATGTGATAAAAATATTTTTAATAAACAAGTAAGAAACTACGTTTTCCCCTTATATTTGCAATAATGCCATATGAAGCTTTTAAGCTTGCAAGTATCAAATTATTATAATATATTCCATGTAGTACATATAGAACACTATACTACTACCATACTTCTAAGGTATAGTAAAGTATATTATACATATAGAATACTATAGTACTACTGTACTACTATGGTACAGTGTAGTATACATATAGAATACTATACTACTACTGAACTACTATGGTACAGTGTAGCATACATATAGAATACTATACAATTACTATACTACTATGATACAATGTAGTATACATATAGAATACTATACTACTATTATACTACTATGGTACAGTATAGTACACATATAGAATACTATACTATTACTATATTACTATAGTATAGTGTAGTATACATATACTGTACAACAGTATACTTTATAATAGGTATAGATATAATATCAAATTAAAATATTACATACTAATCTTAATATTTAGTAATGTATTAATAGTAAAACGAATTTATTATTGTTATGCTTAATTTGCAAATTATTTAATGTTAAGTAAATTACAATACCGTATTATCAAATTGTCTGTGAATATTATTTTACCTCGGCAAAATAATTGGTATATAAAAATATATACTTATTTTAATCCAAACAATAGTTATTTCGTCAATAAACTTCGTAATATACGAATAAATGTTTCTTCAATTCTGAAATATTTTTCACATCATTTCTGCGACGTAGACGTCTCGTTAATTATAGTAATTACGCGCCAACGGGACAAACGAAAATGAAAGTGTCCCGCTCGAACGAGATTCCATTGTTTAATCCGTATTTAATGACGCGTCGTAGTAATCCTGGTTGAATTTTTAAAAAAGTGTCACAACTGACAAATACCGTGTGCAGTGATTATCTTCGAATACCCTTTATTATCCCCAAGCGACGTGCTGGGTGTTAAATACAAGTAAATACTTGAGCGTGTTAATAATGTGTATATTTTCACCGTGCTATGATTTAACTTTTATATGGTAAATGTTAAAAAATAACATAAAATAATAAATAGTCAAATAACGTAAAATGTGAGTCAACTGTAAAGTGCTGATATTTGTAAATAGCAATTAAATATGGATAAATTAATTATAATTTATAAAATATATGTAAATTAAATTACAATTAGAAAAGAAGTTTACATTTACAATTGTAATATATTAGAGTTAAATTCCTTAAAATTCCTATTAAATTTACTAATTAATACCAAAAATTAAAAAATATATGTAAATTAAATCAGAATTAGAAAAGAAGTTTATATTTACAAATGTAATATATTAAAGTTAAATTCCTTACAATTCCAATTAAATTTGTTAATTGATACTAGAAATTAAACAAATTTTAAATTACCAGTAGATATAACATTGTTTAATATAAATTTTCGAAATCAAATCCTAAATTTAAATTTCAATATATTCATTGTAAAACTTGTATAAATGCTTTAGTAAATACATATAATGTGGGTAAAATTCTACAATAGATATTTTTATAGTAAACATACATTACTTGAATTTATATCTTCTGGATTAAAATCAATTTTTTACTAGAAACTGTCAATCCTATAATAGTAGGAATCTTTAATTAACAATTTTTCAACGATATAAATCCAATAGTAAACAATAAAATTTTACAATAATCATTTTTATATCGAGCAAACAAATTGTATTTACATTTATTTAAACTAAAATTTAATTCCAAAATAAATTATAGAAGATTCTATAAATTATAGAAGATATACAATTCTATATAAAAAATTATTGTATAATTATATAATTATATTAACATTAATTGTAGAATTCTAATTATAGAATATTCTGACTAACAAATTACAACTTTGTAATTAAAACTTTGTTAAATTATTAAATTATCAACTTTGTTAAATTACTAAAATGTTAATAGGTTAAACAGTTTCCAATTCTGATACTATTCTCATACTTGTAACTATATTAGTAAAAAGATTGTACAATAAACATATCCAATTCTTCTCGTGCCATTTTCGTCGAATCAGGCCGTTCACTCCATTATCACGTCGTGCAATCGAGATGGCAGTAGCATTTTTAACACGATTCTGGGTTATTGCAATGAAGCTGACATGCAACATTTACCGGCTAGTTTCTAGATCTATATAATAGATTAGGATTTCTTTGGAATCGTCTATAGATAGAAAGACTTCGACCACGGTTATATATGGAACTCTGTGTTTGGTACCATTATACCTGTACGGATCCTAAAGCGATGAATTTGAAATGAGGACGATCGAAAGCAGTGCTAAAAAAAATCCTATCGTTCCCCGACGTAGCTTTAGATCGAGCTATAATAAAAAGTTCGTCTCCGCGTAAATGCCTATTTCTGTCGGAGTAAGCGGCAGGGGCGGCGCTAGTGTTCCGCGAAGTCGAAGGCTATAAGTACTCCTCGCGTTTCTCTGAAATTTTCTATAAAGGCGACTGGATATTAACGATTACATCTGCGATTCCAAGGAAAGAAAATGTCCACTTTTGAGATATTATCATTTAATAATGAATATACAATCGCTATTACTTCTTACTCGGTATTCGGTTAAATTGCACAATTTTCTTCAAGATATAAAATTTATTTTCATTAATTTGTTCCGATAAATAAGAAAAGCTTCACAACCTAATTAATAAATAATCTAAAGGTTCTTGATATTTTTGCGATATTTCTTTTTACAATCTCAAATAGTTAAGATAAAATTGATTGCATGGAATTCTGAAAGTTATTGGTAAACACTAGCTCATTTTTCAGTTTCATTTGACAAGTTGAGAAGTGTAATGGCATGGAGTAAATTTTTGAGAAATTAATCGAGTTATACAAGTATTTATTAATTTCAAGTATTTTGATAGACAAACAAAATAAAAAAATTGTTTGGAATCTTTCTGTTTATTATGTGACAAATAGACGACACATAGAGACATTTTGATAGTTGGAAATATATGAAGATTGTTCAAAAATAAAATAAAATTTTAAACGAGATTAAACATAATATTTTTCATATTGCATTATATATTATATTCCATTATATTCTTTAATTATATTCCATTTCACGATTCCATATACTTCCTTTAATTAGAGATAGTATTCGTTCAATTTCATAGTGAAGTGGGTTACAACTTCGCTCTTTTTGAAAACATAGCGACGTAGCAAAAGAAATATATATTCTATTTATTATAAAAATAATGAAACATAGTTAGAAAGAACATAGTTAGAAACCTATTATGATTTTCAATTTACTAATAGTCGAAAATTACTAATTGTCTTTTTTTTCAATTTCAGTTTCGCTTTTAATTTCATTTCCAACTTTCATTTTTCATTTATACACGTGATATCCGTTATGGAATTAAGAGCAATACAGGAAAGGTTGAAAGCTATAACAAGCTTCGTTTTCCTATGCCCTCATTTTCATTCAGTATAACTATCACTTCTTTGTTTTCAATCAAACAAGAACTACAAGGCGTTTTATTTGTGAAGTATATGACATCAACACTTTTATTGCATACTTGAATTATGGATTATAAAATAATTATTAAATGATTTGCGAAACTCTATTTCTTTGATATAGTTTAATTTTAAATTTGATACTTTTAATTGATTTGAAAGTACGAATTCAATTTACTCTATGCACGATGGGAATAATTTTACTGTTTAATTAATATTTAAATTTATCAGTTTAGAAGAACAATGTTTTTTAATTTAAATATTTCATTGTTTTTATGAATCTACTATTATTATATCACATTTATATTATATTATCACACCCACATGTTCATGTCCTTGAGAGAACATGGCTTTGCTATTATTCAAAATAATACATGCACGAATACTTTGAAAATAATATTTTAAATAAAATATATCTCGTAAAAAATTATTAACAATTTTTTACTGCAAAACATTTTTGGTTATTATACTCCGGTGAGTCATGATGTCGATTTACTTAATACACAGGGTGACCCATTTGAATAAGATCCCACTCGAACACCTTCAAAATTGTAGATCACGTTGAAAAATGTTTTAGAAAGAGTTAAGCTGTTTTAGAAGACACATAATCTGACGTACATGAGTTTTTTTCATTAAGGAGGGAGGAAAAATAAGAAATACTTGCCTTTTTTAATTTTAACTCATTTTTATATTTACAGGGTGAAAATTATTTTATAATTTTTCGTATCAACTAAATTTCGTTGATCGTTATATATAAATTGTTTTATGAGACCTAAAAATTTTTCCTTTTAAGTGGACGAGGAGAGAAAATATGAAAGCCAATTTAATTTTTTTAAATGGAATCATCTATTTTTTAATATACCAATAAATGTAGCTTTTCATTCTCTACGAAAAAGTACTGAGTCACTTATGACAAAAAGCCACTGACGTAGACGATACTATAATTATTAATATGTAAAATAATTTAATATCATATTGTTAACAAATCGCTTAAAAAGTAGTAGTATAACATTGTGTAACAACTCTACGTTGGAACAGTATTAGAAAACCAAGCTGATACAACTATACTTAGTCAGAATGAGAAAATATTGTACATAGCTGGATCCATGCTGTATTTCTGCTGACACAGCAATTTAGGTAGGGTGGTATTTTCTATTTTCGATGTAATTTATTTCCAAATCAAAT